CTCCCCCCCCCCCCCCCCCTATTTTGTATGAAAGTCGTTAATTCTAACGCCTAACCCCTGCCGAAGCTCACTCAGTTGTGTCGCTTGCACCCCACTAGAAATTTTTCGACCCCTCCTGGTTAAGGAAATCTACTAATAAAAGTAATACGTTACATGTTTACGACTACTAGCACTCAAATGTACTGCATGTTTTGGCATGATTTTTTGAGAGCATGCATAAAACATAGTCTTATTTCTATTATTTTGTGCACCTGTACATTTAATAGCAGAGCAGAGCTAACCAGAAACAGAAGCGAAAAATGCAACTTTAGGTCCCTGGCAAGAATTGAACCTGCTGCCCTGCGATTATCATAATATTCATATATATAATATTAACGGCTTATTGACGAGCGTGAGGTTTATACTGTGAAATATCAGACCGAGGTTTTTTAGTATGGACCGAACGACGAAGGAGCGAGGTCCATGCAAAAAACAGAGGTCTGATATTTCACAGTACAGACCGAACAAGCGAGGACAATAATCGGTTTATTATATGGCTGAACTGAGTCTGTGAGCATATGCTTTTCGCGAATTATATCGGCTATCGTCAGTTTCACTGGGTAACAATATACGGTAGGCATGCATGCTCAATCAAAAACAATTTGGTTGTTTGAAATTTTTATCTGTAAATTTTAATGACACACAATTGGAAAATTAAAAAGCAAAAATTTTTTCTGTTTGCAATGCAAAAATTTCCCGCCAGATAAACGACATCCGGGACACCGGTCCAGATACGAAAAATACGGACCACGGTTCGGATATGGGTTTTTACGGACCGCTTGTCAACCAATCAGAATAGAGAATTTTGAAAAGCCATATAATAAATATTTATTTTTTTTAATTTCCGCAGGTTAATTGAAGATGAAGTTAATTGGTGATGATTGATCGCTTCATATGTGGTTTCTTGGCTTTTCTTATATTCTGTATAATGCTTAATATAATTGGAATATTTTTTCTTTACGTGAAATACTTCATATGAGATCCTGTCAAGCTGCTGGCACTGAATTTACTTGACATCTAAGTAAGTACAATATTTAAATGACCATACAGTATTGATTAATATGTTACATGTTGTATAAAAATCTCGCACCTTGTCAGGTAGATGTGTTGTAGAAAGGCTGTCCCAAAGCTGTTATTATGCTGCCAGAAAGTTGTGATTGTGAACTAGGTATTGAAATGCAGGATGATAACAAGTTTTAAAACAACGACAAGTTCGTTAATTGAGATATACCAATCTTACGGCCAACAATACATGTAACATAACCTGCAATCTGCCGCACGATGGTCATAAAGTCACTAGCCTTGTTAAGCTTGTCCACGTGCCAAATCATGCTGCATCAATGTGATAAATAGCATGCACTTCTGCATGTATAGTACATGTGTGTAAGACGTGCCTGCATGGTCCCCTTCAATCAGTTGCTTGTGGACATTGCAGTGCTGCCATTCTAATGGTCCGCACACACTAGTGACAAATCGCTACAACACGTCGCAGAGACAAATTTCTTCGTGTGAACAGGATAATTTTAGTGAAAATTTTGGCGCCGTAACAGAATTTTTGTCGCCGCAACATGTCGCATGAATTCGAACTGGTTTGTTGTATCTGCGAAGCAGATATATATGCTATCGCAAACGTGACCGTACCGTACCGTATGTTAGCACATAGCCATTCAGCGACGAGCTTATATAATTTAAGCCAATTTAAGCCAATCAGCGATCAGTTTACATCAATTGTTTACGTCGTGCCCGCATCTAACCTGCGAATGGGCGTACTTTGGCCTCGTGCAGTCTTGTTATTCTTTCAAAAATATCTTGATATTTTTATCAATTTATTTTATCCCGAAGTTATTTATCAACATGGAATCTTATCCTCATCTAGTAAGTAGTCAAATACCACATATTATATATTTAAATACCAAATTTGTGCAAATATATATCCCACATATTTAATACATGAGTTCGGCAAATTACTTATACTATCTATAGTTAATATTGCCGTATCTTCGGCGTAGAGTTTACATGGAATGCACTCTGAAATTTTTTATTAATATATTACACTGTATAAAATATTGGATATTTTCGAGGATATTTTAAGCCATTTGTCAACATAGTTCACAAAAAGATTTATACAGTCAGTATTAAAAACAATCCTTCTGTGACTTCTGTAATATTTTAAACAGTGAAAACATAGCAGGCAATATTGCCAATGAACAATATCAAAGGAAACTATTGGACAGTTCTCAGGAGATATTGAATTAAATCCTGGTCTGTATTTCTGCATATTGACTCTGTAACACTGTTCAAAACAACAGTCCAACTATAAAGCTGTCAGCAAATGTAGTGTTATAGAGCAAAGGTTGAAGACGTTATCAGTTAAAATACTTATACATTTTGGTTTTACACATTAGAGTTAATTAACAAAATTTTTACAAACATTTTCAAATGCTAATAAAAGAATCCTGAGCCTCTTTTCATTCTAACATAAATGTTTTTGTTTAGAGGTTAATACAAGAATGAAGAATAAATGTACTGGATATTGGCTGGATAATTTTGTCAGAACAACCCACTTGCAAGACAATCTTACTCCTAAATTTATTAGAATGGAAAATAACTTAACAGCTACAATGAATAATCATATAATTATTATATGGATGGATTTGATCAATGGTACACAATGTACAAAACTAAACTCGTGACACCTTCTACTCAAACCGATAATCTCCCACAACACAATTGTTTTTGTGTGAATGTGCTGTACGTGTTAAACCGAACAGTGTGGTATATCATTAACTGTGCACAAAACTGGAATTGAATTATATACTTCACTCATGACCTTCCAGACATTCTCAATTATTCAATGGTCTTCGACATGTTCACCAAATATTTTGTGTATGTTACTCAACAGTTAACTTTTGCTTCATATGATTACAATAAAGTTTTGAAAATTTGATGAGTATGGATTGAATTGACAGGTGACAGTTTACTAAATAGCCGGCTCTATAGACACTTTGAATATTGTTTGCATGAAATTTTTTTTCCTGACTGCATAATTATCTGTTACAATCATAATCACATTTTAAAATTAGTTAAATTTTCTCGGTGCGGGGGTAGGGGGCACTTGACGTGCCGCCCTCCCCGCTGTGTACAGCCCTGTTTTAAATCGTATCTGCTCTTATAATAAGTGATGAAATATTTCAATTGTCCCATGTCATCAAGAAAATACAAAATGTGAATCAACTTTTTTCGCAACCTCGCAAGCCAGGGTCTTTTACCTGCGCTCGGGCTCTTCGCCGGAGCCCGAGCGCAGGTAAAGACCCTGGCTTGCGAGGTTGGTTTTTTCGCAGATACATGTACGCGTCGCGTACCTATTTTTATCATGGCAACGACATCGTGGCAACAAAATACAAATGAACGTACAGCATTTTCTCTTGACGTTTTTGTGCTCTTCGTTATCCAGCAACATTAAAAGAACAAACACCTTCTTTTTCTTTAAGCTAGATGGCATTTACTGTAGTTTCTTGCCCGCTATATTTAACTAGTTTACAATTTCCCTCATTCGAAACACATCACGGCCACAGAATGTTGCAGCGGTTTGTTTCGAGAAGTAATTCAGACGAGGCGATTTATCGCCGCAATGAGCTCATGTGCGCACGAAACGATTTGTTGCAGCGACGTGTTGCAGTGATTTGTCGCCCAGTACCTTAATGCCTCGTGTGCTGCATGCGCGATACAATTAGCTAAAGCAATCGGCGAATAAGATGCTGCATAAGCAACCCTCGAAATTCGCCTCGGCACTCGGCAATTGCCGACGCAAATGCCGAGGCAAGTTACGATTTTTCATAGTTTGCCACGGCAAAAAAATGCCGAGGCAATTCCACCCGTTGTACCTTAAATTACAAACTACAGCGTCTGTTCGTGTTTTTTTTTTTGCTTAAATTTACAAACTACAGTGTTCGTTTTTTGCATCACTTCTTTGTTCGAATTGTTGTCATCGACGTCGGGTGAACAACAGAAGATTTTATTCATAGCTACTTTACAAAACACCTAAATTTGAGCTTTTCAGCGTCGGCTTCGGCTAAAATAAAGAACAATCTTGATGGTTTAAAGACGGCACGTTGAGAAACTTTGTTTTATCTTTTAGACTGTCGCGTGATTACCGTCAAGTTTATTCTTTTATACAATTTGTCAATTTGTTGTTAATTACCACTATAAACTTTTTAAAAACATTTTGAATCAGGAACTGCCGACGTGAATGCCGAAGGGTGCCGAAGTAATTGCCGAAGGAATTTAAGGTGATTTCATTGCGTGCCTCGGCAAAAAAAAAATGCCGAGGCAAACTCGAAAATTATCAAAAGACTTCAGCAATTATTTGCCGAGGCAAAAATAGTTGAATTTCGAGGGTTGATAAGTATACAAACTTGCCATACCCTTGACCTTGTTGTGTGATTTTACCGCTTCAGATTTATTTTACACGTTTCTGGGATAATATCCGTCAAAATGCTTCAACAAATCTTAAAAGACATGTATATAGACCCGGAGCTTCTGACTGAGCTCTCTGAAGAACAAAAGCAGGTGTTGTTTATTAAAATGAGAGAAGAGCAAGTTCGAAGGTGGAAAGAACATGAAGCTGAACTGGAAAAGAAAGAGAATGTTATAAATTTGACGAAGAAAAAACTCCGAAACAGTATGTGTTTAGGGCGCTTAATAAGCAAGCGACGTTTTTGTCAACATGCACAGATGTCTGATTGCAGATGGGGGACTGTGTTCGTGGCAGTTTCTGATAATCTTTTACACACAACAAAACATAAGATTTTTATAGGTTCTGCTTCCTTACAAAAGCGATTTGATGCAAAATGCAGCCAAAATTAGTTATACCATGCCAACTTTTGGGTGACGTCCATGTTGACAAAAACATTGCTTGCTTAAGCTCACTATTATTTATTTGAAACGCAAGTCGTACCAGTAAATCTGCTGCCAACGACACCTGCTTCATTGAGGTTAAATGCTATTCGTTGACAAGATCACCATATCTCCTACATATATCTTTTAATAACAACCAATAGGCTTACTTCAAAATGTTTCAATTCAGTCTATATCAAGTAATTATAGTTTCTAATAAAGGTCTGCGAATCCGATCGGATTCGGACAGTAATTTACTCGGATCAGATTGGATCGGATTTCTTTTTTTTTTGTTGTTGGATCGGATCGGATTTTGTAGGTTTTTGTCGAATTGGATCGGATTTGGGTTTTTTTCCTGTATTGCGTCGAATTACTCGAATATTTTAATAAATTAAGATAGTTCTGTGATATCTATATGGCAGGAAGTGCCTGGAAGGCTTTGCAGCCGAATAAGCCGAGTGATTTGGTCGAAGCGGAGTAATACTATATTTTGCCGGGTGCTGACAGTAAAGTATACTGAAAAAGTGTTTTGAGTTTTTTTACGTATATTTCTGACAAACGAAACACAGCTGGAATTGGGATACAGGAATGTTGTGATTCTTTGTTTAGTTTGTTAGCTTTATGTGTCATCAGCACAGCTGACAATGAGATTTATTAGACAAAGTTATAAACTTTAAGATGTCCTAAAATGTATACCCAGCTCAAGCTCATGCATTGTTATAATAACTAGACTACGCTAATTCTAATCGGAATAAACTGCTGTTAACGTGTAAATGCCCTAAGGCATATAAATTATGTGATGTCGCCCTGCATTCTTTATCGGATTCGTATATCTGCTTATTTTGCTGGAAAATCATTATTTCCAATACAGTATATCGTTTACGATCATGAAAAAATACGTTCACACACGGAATAATTAACGCACGCTGTATATAATAACTTAAGATCGGATCGGATTGCGAATTTAGCATCGGATCGGATCGGATTTTATAAACATTTTTATCGGATCGGATTGCTTTTTTCATCTTCGGATCGGACCGGATTCGGATTGAGAACTTAGACAAACCATCGGATTGAAAGAGGTCAATCCCATCCGACGCACACCTCTAGTTTCTAATATCAAGAAAGTATTTTTTCAAAGTAAATTCAATGTTTCGCCGTTCAGGGTACTTCAGCTGCCCGAACTGAGACATCGGCAATCGCTGGTAGTCATTTGGTATTTAACCCATTAAGTTGCATTGGTCACCAATGTGCCATACTGTACGTACTTTATTATTTTACTCTGTCTAACGCCAGAATATTGTACTCTGTCTAACGCCAGACGATTGTACTCTGTCTAACGCCAGACGATTTTACTCGTCAAGGGGAAGGAGTTGGCGCTCAGTAGATTATTTAGACTATCTGCCAATGTGTCTAGTTGACCCATTAATTTGCATCGTGTCCTAATGCGCCCTACTTTATTATTTTACTCGTCCAGAGTGCTGGTGCTCAATGACTTGAGACACAGTAATTGTCCTATATAGGGTTGCATGTTCAACAAAGCTTAACGCAAATTAATAATATTTTTTCAAGAGAAAGGAACAAACGTGAATTATTTGATGGGTGCAGACGGTAATCCATGGACGTGGGTGTTAGGAGAAAGTGATGAAGATGCGTCCGAGGACGAAAAAGAGAGAAGTAAGAGTTTTGTTACACGAAGAGCCAGAAATGTGGCGCCAAAAATGTTTTCAAAATGCTAAAGGTTAAAATGTCCTTTTTCATGCCTTTGCATATGATAGGGATATGTTGGATCCGGACACCGGGAGCCGATATCCGGCATAATTATAGACATCCAGCACTATCCGGTATGTGACATTTACCGGATATTACTGGAAGTTTTATTACTGTATAACCGCAAAACCGTCTGTTTTTGCGGTATTGTGAACTACAGGTATCTGGTCTACCAGTGGCGTAGCCAGCCCGACAATTTAGTCGCGCTATGCCAATTCAAAATTATTATCATTATTCATTTCTTTAGAAATGGATTGTTTTCACAGTCAATGGACACGAAAATATTTGCATAGCGGGACTAAATCGTCGGGCTGGCTGCGTAGCCAGGGACGGCAACGCGACGGCAACGGCTACCAATACAATAGATCATTGAAAGGAATTGTGTAATTACAATATATGAATAATTTAGACATTGTCCTCGCTCTGTTTACAACGCTAAATCACAGATTTTCACGTCTTGATACAACGGCTGCATTCCAAGCCACAACAAGTGCAAATTCAAACTGGGTTTAGCAGAACTCTTCCCAACCATAAAACCCATGTCTTAAACTTCTAAGACTGTATTAAATTGATACGATTGATAATATACGAAGAACTATCTTTACTACCATTTATTTGAAGGAGTTTGTTTTGGCCGTCGCTGTCGCGTTGCCGTCCTAAACTCGTAAGGTCTCTAATGTCCAGTAGACCACGCTACTGGACATTATAACGAAATTACAGTTTCTTTGTGATGCAAACTGCTCTCTGCTATATATTGTCTGACCGTTCTTGTGCTATATACTAAACAGACAATGGATTATTTTAAAACAAAACGTCAGTGACGTATTGTCCAATTATCAGGTAGTGATTAAACATCTAAAATATAATAAAAGGACGTATTTCGCGATTAACATTCCCAAACTATAGGGTTTTTAAAAATTTAGGCTTCTTTGTTCATGCAGTTATACCTACAGTAGGTCACAGCCCTTACAGGCCTCGAAATAAATGCCGGTCACCGGTCATTGTAAGGTAAATTTTTCAGTTTATATTTTTTAGGCAAATGTTTAATATTATTACGCATTACTAATACAATCTCTGTTTTGATTGGCTGCTGGCCTACGGATAATTCGTGATGTCGTATAATTCTGACGTCACAACTGCAGACAACGGTTATCTACATGTAGATATGACGTCAGTCAGCTTGTTTACAGTAAACACGAAGAAAGAATAAACATGGCGAATTCTTCAAGGAGATTCGCCACGGTAACTGAGAACGATTTACGAAAGCTATTGGACGAAAAGGAAGCGGTAAACACTAAACGAGCTACGAAGATAGCTGTGAAAGTTTTACCGAGTATATAATAGAAAAAAAGATAAGCGAACTCAAGACAAAGAGTCAATTGCGAAAGTCCTTGCGCAATGTACACCGAAGTTCGAAAGGAAGAAATTGTACTGACGTTGTTTCTCGCTTTGATTTGTTTATATCACTGCATGAGTAAAACCGTTGAATGTTCTAGACATCACTAAACGTTATTAAAATGTTTCTAAAATTATTTACAAAGAATCGTGTCTGGCTTGGCTTCTTTGCCTTGATTAGTTATAGTATTTTCCTTAGTCATTCTTATGCGTAATAAAATAATTATTGGACTCGATTTTCGCTAGTCTGCGTGGAGGCTAGCGACATTCTCGCTATCACGCGAAAATAATTCTCGATATTACGCGAACATAATTCTCGATATTACGCGAACATAATTCTCGATATCATGCGAAGATAATTCTCGATATCACGCGAAAATAATTCTCGATATCACGCACACGAAAATAATTCTCGATATCACGCAAAAATCTAGCCTGCGTGGCAGGCCCTCAATTTTATGTGGGGCCTGATTTGCAGCGGGCAGGCCAAAATCCTGCCCGCTGCAGATCAGGCCCCCCATAAAATTGAGGGCCTGCCACGCAGGCTAGATTTTCGCGTGATATCGAGAATTATCAAGGCCTCGGTTTGTGTTATCCGGCTTCGGCATATAACACAAACCTCGGCCTTGATAATTCTCCATATCACGCTCAACCTCATCCAATAATTATTTATTATCGCTTACCGAACACGAATGACCGGTAAAACCTTTTATTATATACATGAAAAAATTACTGCATTTTGACTGGTTAAGAGGAGTGCAATTATTTCATTAATATTTATCTTCTGTAATCAGTGGCAAATACTGCAATTTCATTGGTTTACAGGAGTGCGATTTGAGCATTAATCGCACCTTTTCTGAGCTGTAATCGCACCCTTGTCTACAGCCAATGAAAATCAGTCTAGTATTTACAACTAGCCAATCAGCATTCAGGATACAAACTTTGAATTTTATTTTCTTTATTGCTGTAAAAATTCTCAAAATGGAGGAATTCACAAATTTTAAAATTTCAAAATTTAAAATTCACGAATTGTATTAATTAATAAGTAATAGAACGAATTAAGTCGTGCTATTAATGCCATAATCATACTCGTGATTGAGACATGATTATGGCATTAATAGCACTCCTATTCGTTCTATTACCATCATTAATTACGGAATGCAATTAATGATTTTCTCCAGGAGTGCAATTAATGATTTTCGTGATGGCTGGGGGGAGTGGGAAATCAAAACAACAAAAATCCAATATGGCGGCGAAATTTATCTTGTATAAACAAACAAACGTTGACGAATTTAACTAAATTTTGGCACAAGAATTAGTCGGCGACTCGTGTAATTTTGGCACATTTTTCAAATATCACTCGTAGTGTTAGTCATTAATTGCACTCCTTCCCGTGTGATTACCTATACTAACGGAAAAAATGCATACACGAGTGGATTTTCGTATACCAGTGCCAGTGAAGTGCCTTTTCGTTTTATCATGTAGGTTTACGGGCATTGGAAGATAAAGAAGTTGAGAAAAAAGCAAAAGAACTTGCGGAAAAAGAAGCAGCAGAATTAAGAAAGAAAGAACTTGCTGCTATTAATCTGAGAACTAAGCAGCTTAAAAATGAAGAGGAGAAACTGGAAAAAGATTGTGCCGAAAAAGAGAAGCTGCTGAAAGCAAACAAACAGTTGGTGGATCAAACAAATGAGAAGGTACATTGAGATATCGAAAATCTAACCTGGAGTACTGTATGTTAAAATGTTAGTATAAAATGTTAGTTTACAATTATTCACCGAAGTGGACTGGTGAATAGTGCAAGGATATTCACCGAAACGTGAAGCGTTGAGTATTCAATGAAATGGATTTCTGGTCACACCATTTACATGTCAATCTGTATTTTTTACATTATTCTTTAAGAAGTGGCTACCACATGATGGTAATTAATTCTTTATTTATAGCGACCACGAAAATGTGACAAAAATCTCATAGTTTTTGTCACATTTTCGTAGTCGCTAAAGTAAAAGTTATTGCAATTCATTATGCGTAGTAATTCTTTCTATCTTTACCATTAGGCGAAAAATAAAGTTGTACTAAAACTAGATTTAAATGAGCAACGGCAATTGAAAAATAGAAATAACGTGAAAGAGACAGAACAAGCGGATAAAAGAAAACTAGAACAACTAAGAGAAAGAAAACGAAAAGAAGAAGAACAAAGAGAAGCGGATAAAATAGAAAGGGAGAAAAAGGAGAAGGAAAGGAAGGGAAAAGAGGCAGCGGATAAGAGAAAGCAAGAGGAACTAAGAAAGCAAAATGAACTAAGGAAACAGGATGAGCTAAGGAAACAGGACGAATTAAAGAAACAGGACGAATTAAGGAAGCAAGACGAGTTGAGAAAACAGGATGAAATAAGAAGGCAAGATGAATTAAGAAAACAAAGACAACATGAAGAGAGGAAAAAACAAGAGGAAGAAAGACAAAAGCAAGAATTAGCGAGGAAGGAAGCGGAAGAAAAACGTATACAAGAGTTGGAGAGACAGAAAAAGGTGGAAGAAATGAGATTAGCAGAATTGAAACGTCTGGAAGAAGAAGAAAACGAGAAAAAGAGGATGAAAGAAAAGGAACTGAAGGAAAAACAAGATCAACGAACTAAAGAAATTTATGAAAAGATAAAAAAGGTATAGTTGAGTCAAATATCAAATACTAATTATACTTTGGTACCTTGCAGAACTGTTAGACACATAAAAACAAATATCTTCTATCTTTTCATACAACGATCGGGTAGTACATGTACAATGAAAACAGGTCACCTGTCACTGTAAACCTAGCCTGCGTGGCAGGCTCAAGGAATAAAGAGAGCCTCGATACCCGCCCACTAATTACTATGATAATTTATTTCCAATCCAACCAATCATATTTTTTGAAATCCATGTGCGTGATGCAGTGTGAGTAATAACTATAAATATACTTTAATTTATTACTATTGTAGTTCATATAGAGTGGCTCGAGAATTCAAACACTTTTAAACAATTGGCAGTTTAAATTACTTTGGGAGTAAATAAAACAGACTTTACACCGGCGATGTCGGTTTGGTACATTTCGATACATTAGTATGTGATAGAATTCACTAGAACAAAACATTTTGACTTGATACTGCAGTTTAGATGTCGTTACTCAACAGACTATTTTTACGTATTAATAATGAACGGAACTCAAAAATATATTTATATCAAAAGGAAGACAATACCATCTTAGGTCCAAACATTACAATAAATTTCAAAATCATACATATTATGACCAGCTATGAGCGAATATATGTTTCAAAATTGCAGCGGCTCACGGCTGAACAGTATAAACGTTTACAAATTGACAATAACAAACTCTTAAACTATAAAAATATATCTCAATACAAGCTAAATTGCACTGTAGTTTGTAGTCTGCTGTAAAACTCATAAAAACCGATAAAAGCAACGTTTGTAGATCGAGTAGTAAGTTTCATAAATACATAAAGCGACATGTATTTAATAGGATACATAATTTGTCAAAATCAGTATTTTCAAATTGATCGGGTATAGCTACTGTATTATTTAGAGAAATACCAACACGTGAATGGGTTTGTATCTATGCTGTTCGACTTGTCAAGGCAGATATCCAATGAGAAAACCTGCCAAAAGATATCAACGATTTCCAGCTGTTCAGTTTTTAGTTTAAAACCCAATTTCACAGCACTCTTTCAAAATTTTACGCTAATATACGCTTTTATTGATAGCCAGGGCGCTTATATATAAGCGCGCTTATATATAAGCGCCCTGATGATA